TAGATAGATAGATAGATAGATAGATAGATAGATAGATAGATAGATAGGCAGGCAGGCAGGCAGGCAGGCAGGCAGGCAGGCAGGCAGGCATGATGTGACGAGATGTGAAACAGAGATGGTATAGAACAGGGGTCTTCAAACTTGACAGCTTTAAGACAAGTCTTAAACTCCCAGAATTCCTCTTCCAGTCATATTAGCTCAGGAATTCTGGGTTGAAGTCCGCAAGTCTTAAACTTGCCAAGTTTGAAGACCATTGGTATAGAATTTTGTTTTCAGTTCAGATGTTCGTAATTCATGGAAACCAATTTAGGAAAACAGGGAATGCTTGGAGCTCTCTGCCTTCCCATTGGATGCGGTATTCATGTACAGTCATGGGGGTTTGGTAATGTCAAAGGGAAATGATCACTTTCCGTCTCAAATGAATCCATGATTCTCTGTGCCAATAAGAAAAGGGGAGGATGGAAATATGCAAATTAGAGGGTTCCCAACATCTGTAGGGTACAGCTAACCAGGAATGACCTCATACATAAGACAGAGAAATCTTTGACATCTTTGACTCTTCCAAGCTTTCTTTTGGCCACCTTGGATTCTTACGAAAGGAGGTGCACATTCATTTAGGCAGCAAACAGTGTATGTAAGCATCCCAATGAAGTGATGGAGAGCATGTGGAATATTTGCTACATGGAGCCCCTTTGGAAAACATATGTTAGTTTAAAACATTGATCAATAGAAAGGGTCTTCAAACTTGGCAAGTTTGTGGACTTCAGCTCCCAGAATTCCTGAGCTAACATGACTGGAGGAGGAGTTCTGGGAGTTGAAGTCCACAAGTCTTAAATCTGTGGAGTTTGAAGACCCCTGATGAACAGGATCAGATCTGAACAATTCTTGGATGGGACACAGCCATAGAAAACCTTAGGAGTGTAAGTTAGATTGGATAGTTGATAAAGATGGTAGAAGACAGATAAACATGGTAGAAGAAAACAATGCCCAACCACATGTACATGGTTATGTACTTTGGGATCAGTTGGAGCTAATAAATTCAAATAAATAATCTCTAGGAGTTGGCCTTGACTCAAAGGAATCCTTATCTTGTATATCTTGTTAGCAGTTTCAGTCTAGCTTTGATGTGCTGAGTATGCAGCTTTGTTATCTTATGCAGTTTTATCTTCCAAGAGAATTCCAGATCTTAAAAGCACCTGTCCTGTCAGTCAGAGGCATTCTGCTACAGTCCTTGATTTACAACAGTTCATTTAGTGACCATTAGATGCACTCATCAGCACTCACAAAAGTTGACTTATGACCGTGTTTTTTTTTAATACTTAACAACCATTGTAGCATCTCTATGATCATGGGATTAGAATTTGGACAGCTGGCAACTGACTTGTTCATATGACGGTTGCAGTCATGGATCCCCTTTTGTGACCTTCTGACAAACCAAGTCAATGGGGGGAAAGCCAGATTCACTTAATACTAACTTAACCAACTGCAGCAATTCACTTAACAATGATGGCAAGAAAGTCATAAAATGGGGGAAAGCTTACTTAACAACGGTCTCGTTTGGCAATGCAAAATTCTGGGCTCTATTGTCGTAAGTTGAAGACCCACTTGTACTTCCCCGTTCAGTTCAACACAGTTGAAAGCATTCTTTCAATTGTGTTGAGTTTTGCCTGTGTTAGACAAATTCTGAATTTCCCAATGTTTGGCAAAGCAAGGGAATTAATCCGGTAGAGTTAAGGAAGTGATGGCTGGGTGGGGTGTTACGGAAAAATGTGACTACATGGAGGGATAACACCTTTGGATGAACTTTTCTTCTTCTTTGTTACAAATACTGTTATTATCTTCCTTCTAACCACAGCAGGGCTAAAATTGCATCCCATTGCTAAACAGTCCATCCTTACTACCAATTTACCTACCCTGTTATCTGATGTCTCTCTAGAACTAATTAACTTTTATGTTTCACAGACCTTGAATCCAATTATTTTGGGGCTAGGGATGTTAACAATAAACAAATTGTTTTTAAAACTGTGCATGTAGCATGTTTTTTTTTTTAATCTAAAGAAAAAAAAAAAACCATAACACAAAACACATACCTAAAATACATATCCCGTTGAATAACTAGAACCAACATCAGTGGAGCTTGCCGAGACAATTTCAATAGACAGTACCGGAGACGAATTTTCGATGGATAACTCAGATTTACCTGACACTACCAGGGGCTCAGAAACAGAATGCGATTATGACGTGAACCTAGACAATAATGTAGATGGCCCTGATTTCCTGGTGGAGAGCTCAAGAGCCAAAACGAAGAGCTGTGATTCAGATTTAACACTAACCACAGTAGGTAAGTGGGTTTCCTTGTTAAGTTTGCAGGCACTAACCACGCTTCCCAAACAGTGTGCTGGGTTGCACTAATTTGTCACACAAAAATAGTTGAAATGTGTCTGGAAATGTCGTTCCAGGGCCCCATTTTTGTGTCTTCTTTCTCCACCCACCCCCCAGATGTTCACATCGATAACCAAATCCAGCAGCAAAGTCTTAATTTTGGAGTGGTGCATTTTGTTGAGCTCATTCAGTAAAGCAAAGGCTAATATAAGCCTCCATTAGTGGCTTATCTCTATGTAACTTCCTCTTGCTTTAGAAGGTGCCTGAAATGTCGCCCCCCCCACTCCCTTGTGAAAGTGGCCACCCAAAATGTTATCTTCCCCGCTCAAATGAGGTCACTAGGTTAGTCCTCCTCTGAATTCTTGAAACTGGATTGTTGTTTAAATGTGGCTTTTACACTTTACCAGTTCAGAGTTTCCATGAGCAGAGGTGGCCTTCAAGAAGCATTCTGGAGGACATGTTCCAAAAAGTAGACAGGTTCAGGCCAAAATTAAGTGTAATTTAGTTTAAATGTAATTAAAATTTAATACAATTACTGTTACCAGTATTATAGATAGCGACATTTGACTGACCTTGGCTAATCTCCAAAAAACACGCACGCAGGGTTGAACATGGCTAGTATTTTAGTGAGAGACCCATCATAGAATCGCTAAGCAGGAGACATGACTAGATTAAACGAAAGGTAAAGGAGTCCCTGCGGATTTTATTCTGCTAGTTGTTGCTGACTATAAGGGGGCAGTGCTTATTTCCATTTCCGCCATTGAGCCATCGCTGCCTGAAGATATTTCTGCGATCATGTGGCCAGGCATGATGTCATGGAGCATGACCTCACAGAATGCTGTTACTTTCCCACCGAAGTGGTACCAATTTATCTGGTCATATTTGCATGCTTTTGAACTGCTAGCTTGGCAGGAACTGAGGCAAGGATGAGAACTCGCCCCATCGTATGGCGCTTGGGTCTCGAACCTAAGCTGCCGGCTTTCCAACCAACAAATCCAGGATCTTAAAAACTGAGCCACTGTGCTGCCTCAGCACGATTAAGAAGTCAATACTTATTCCAGTCATGCTCCCTTTGTATCATTGCCAAAATAACAAAGTAGACGATCCACCCAGCTACCAGAAGTTGGGCTCAGCTCAAAGGAAACATTATCTTTGCTTTGATTTACTCCCTACGTCATTTCTCAATTTCCCCTTCCCTTACAATTAAAAATAACACCATTTTGGAAGGGGGTTTATAAACCCAGAGGACCTCAGTTGCAACACTCCTATCCTAGAGCTGCTGAAGAATTGGTTCACCTAATTGTGATTAAAATATCTATTCTGTTCCATCTGGGGGGGTTGGATAGAGTAGTTGTGCTCCAGTTTTCACAAGTTTGGGAAGCCCTGGTTGATAACATTTGATAAAATGGAGCTCAGGAATATCTCACAGTAAGAGTGGGGAGAACATGGAATCTCCTCTTACATCAAGGCAGAAAGCATTCATTTGTTAAGTCTTCTGGAGCCAATTTGAGAAAGTCAGAAAGGGTAAAACTTACCTAAGTGGTGCCCATTCTTATCAAGTGATATCAGACCTAGACATAAACTATTTTATCACCTCTTTTCCTTTCTTTTCCACCTTCTTGTGCCAAACTAATTCTCTGCTTGCAAACATCTCTTCTTAAAATGGCGTCTGCCGCCATTTTATTCTTGCATGCAGTTTGTACAGGTAGTCCTAGACTTACAACAATTTTGCTTAGTGATGGTTCAAAGTTATAACGGCACTGGGAAGAAAGGGTCTTGTGACCATTTTTCCCACTTGTGACCATTTTTCCCATCTGCAGCCTCCTCGTGGTCACGTGATTTACATTTTGGATGCTTGACAACTGACTCATATTTATGACCAGGTGGCCGTATACCCGGGGAGGTCATGAGATCCCCTTTTGCGCCCTTCTGACTCCATGGGGAAGCCAGATTCACTTAACAACCGTGTTACTAATTTAACGACTGCAGGTGATTCCTTTAGCAGATGTGGCAAGAAATGTCGTAAAATGGAGCAAAACTCACTTAACAAAATTTCTCACTTAGTCACATACATGTTGGACTTAATTGTGGTCGTAAGTGGAGGACTACCTGTAGTTTACTAATGGCTGTCCTGAACTATGTGTTGCCAATAACTGTGTGCCAATTTCGTTTTTCACCTTTTCTGCACCATTGCTTGTGTATTCCTCGTGTCATAATTCTCCTCTAATCTCCTTTTTTTTCATGTTTCTACTTGCAGCCTTTCAACTTCATGCGGTTTTCGTAAAGAACAAAAAGGGTTTACAGGCAAAATTAACAATAAGCGTGACCTTAAATGAACACTTATTCCTACACAGTCTTTCATTGTCAACTAAGATGTTTGCTGTCAGTTGCATAGTTGTATGAGCGTGTGAGAGAAAGCTATTGTCTCTTCTTGTCATAATTGAAGACCTACTTTGGACCGTTAATTTTATGAACACATGAGGAGCACTGGAGTCATTGCTCGGCATACAGGGAACTATGTGATAACATAACCAAATATTAGCCTGCCATTATGAGATTTAGCAATAACACCACTTTACAGTGCTTTCCAGCCCTCTCTAAGCAATTTACAAAGTCAGCCTCTTGCCCCCAACAATCTGGGTCCTCATTTTAGCAACCTTGAAAAGATGGAAGGCTGAATCAACCTTGAGCCAGTCAGGATCGAACTGCCAGCAGTAGGCAGATTTAGCCTGCAATAGCAATAGGCTTAGCCATTAGAATTATATACAGCTTCATTGTGCTTTACATAGCAATAGCACTTAGACTTAATTTACCACTTCATAGCGCTTTACAACCCTCTCTAAGCGGTTTACAGAGTCGGCATATTTCCCACAACAGTTTGGGTTCTCATTTTACCCACCTCAGAAGGATGGAAGGCTGAGTCAACCTTGAGCCTGTTGAGATTTGAACAACTAAATTGCAGGCAGATGTCAGGCAGCAGAAGTAGCCTGCAGAATTGCACTCTAACCACTGCGCCATCGTGGCTCATTTAATCTCATTTTTGGGGAGAGCTGTCTTCCATTCCTCATATCACAATGTTTCAAAGGTCTCCAGTTTGGTCAGCCAGCAGGGGACCAAGGTAGATACCCACCAAACCATGGAAGGAATAACCAGGAAAGACTTTGGGATTGTCTAATCCACATTCCAATCCAGGTTGGACTGTTGACTCTAAGATTCCAAGCAGGAATCTTGCAACCATAGCAGATCCTTTGGGCAGTGGCACTTCCACCATATTGCTAAATCCAGGCCAGAGGTCTATCTTCTCACCCCTTGTAATTTGCTTCAATTAGGTTGCTACTAATTGAATCAGGAGCCTTCTAGAGGTTTCTCAGTTATAAAGGGTTTATTTTGTGTGTGTGTTTTTAAATGCTCCCTCCCTTGTTTTGCTCTCATTCTAGGCATTTTTTCTTCAGACTCTTAGCTAATATATCAAATGTCACGAATGTTGTTTACTGTTACCTGGGCTAACCTGAAGCTACCTTACACACATCTATGAAATCAGTTTTTATTTTTCTCTTGTTGGTCAAGAAGTTACTCTATCACAGTGGCCCTCAACCCTTTTGGCATTTCATGGAGAGAGGTTTTTCCGTGGACTGGAGCGGGTGTGGTTTTGCATGCTGCCTGCATCCAGTGAATGGGGCTTCGCTTGTTTGCACGGACAGGTTTCTTCCATGCTGCAGATCATGTTGGTTCACCCACCAGGGGTAGGGGACCCCTGCTGTAACATGCCTGTCACTTGCACAATCTGATTAAAAGGTAAAGGTTCCCCTCGCACATACGTGCTAGTCATTTCTGGCTCTAGGGGGCGGTGCTCATCTCTGTTACAAAGCCGAAGAGCCAGCGCTGTCCAAAGACATCTCCGTGGTCATGTGGCTGGCATGATTAACGCCGAAGGCACACAGAACGCTGTTCCCTTCCCAGCAAAGTGGTCCCTATTTTTCTACTTGCATTTTTACATGCTTCCGAACTGCTAGGTTGGCAGAAGCTGGGACAAGTAGCAGGAGCTCACTCTGTTACGCGGCGCTGGGGATTCGAACTGCCAAACTGCCAACCTTTCTGATGGACAGGCTCAGTCTTAGCCACTGAGCCATCACGTCCCCCTCTGATTATGTTTATAATTATATAATATCTGATTGTGATTATAATCCGATTATGAGCCTTCCATTAGTCTATTGTATTGAGATGGTCAATGGGATATTATTTGTAACTATTCTATCTAAACTAGTTAATAGGATTTTTCTGCATGTGTTAGTTCCTCTGGAACATATTCTTGTTTTGGTGCTTTAATATCTCTTCCCTCCCCCCCCCTCCCCCCAGTAGAATGATTTACAGTCTGGATCCACACATGGCATTGATCCATCATGGGTAAACCTGGTCATTTTTGTTTCTTACGTTGCTTACTAATCATTGGTATAATTAGGTGTTGGATACAGGGTTTCCAATTAAGCAGTCAACAAGTTGCCCGTTTAGCTTTTCAGTTAGTTCTTAGCTCTTTTGCATACTGTGTCAGCTTGTCTGGAACTGTTGGTTTATGCGTATAACTGTATGAATCCATGTTGGAGCAACTCTTTCTTGGAATCCTTTCCCATAGCAATGAGAGCCATTAGAGAAAATACGATGGGTCACCTTGTGAAGCCATGATGAGATTGGGTTGAGTTGAGTTGGGTTGGATTGGCCTTTTCTTATCCTTCAGAAGTGAGGGCAGGGTTCTTTCTGAGAAAAGATGTCAAGAATTCCTGAGGGATGAAATGAGCATCTTAAACATATGCAAGAAAGGGAGAAAGGGATAAAAATTTAAGAAGCAATCTCCAGGGACTCGGAAGCTCACAGAGCTTCCAGAGAGCAAAAATTAGACCTTCTAATTTGTTCTAATAATTTCAGCTGTTGGTTTACCCCCAAGTTATATTTTATTTTGAAGAGCTACCTTGAGTATCTCGTGCATAGCAAGGTAGACTAAACTGATGAGGATAATGAATATTTGTTTTTTCTGGCAATGTCATGGATATATTTTCTAGTAAAATATGGTTTTTTTTCATTTAGCCCCAATGCTTTTGGAGATGGGCTTTTATCCCCCAAAAACCTGGGTGCTTTGTACAGAAACCCTTGCTGTGAGAAGGAAAGTAACATGTTTTTTAGGAGGATGGCTTTGCAACCTTGGCCAGCAACCAGTGCTCAGAATACCTAATTTTTTTCATTTGTGGGTTACACACAGCTTGCTACTGGTTTGGATTTAGGTTTCTTTTTTGGATTTGGGTTCCTTTTTTGGATTTGGGTAGCAAAACAAGCATATTTATATATCTATATAAAAGTGAAAGACCACTCACGCATCATCACAAAATCTCCAAAACCGTAAAATCTACAGACTTGAAATTTGGCACATATGTTCCTCTTGGCTTCTAGGTGCTCACTAAGGAAGAATTTTTCGAGATGACCATCAGAGCATTAGTAGTTTGTATATTATTATTATTATTAACACTCTCTGATGCTAAGGAGTTCTAATCCCCCTCCCCATCTGAAAAGAAATCTGTTCCAAATGCAAAACACAAGCAGAGGAGAGGAGTTCCAGTTTTAATTTCACAGCACCAAGCAGCTTTAGTAACAGAACAGTTGAGCTAAGCCACGCCTAGGCTCCTTGCTGTCTCCTACTTGCTCACACAGCAAATACTGTTTCAGTTTCCAAACAGCCTTCAATTCTCTCACACACTGACAGGACACTAGCTAGAGGAATACTGATGGATGCTGGTAGTCAGAGGCAGATCCCCCCCTTATTTTCCTCCCCAAAAACAGCCTGACCACATAGTTTCGTAGAGCTGTTTAATCTGAAAAGTTGAGTGAAGAAGACTTGGTATTGAGTCAATCCTCTGCAGGAATTTTCACTGGAGCATCATAAAGTTTCTGTTTCAATTCTTCATTCTCAATGTTACCTTTATTTGAGATGTCCTGGGACCAGCAGGAGGCCTTCATTTCTGAAGAAACTGGGCAGCCCCCATTCACACAAAAAATTAATTGGTTTTCTTGCATGTTGCAGAGGATTAAATTAGATGATTCCAGCTCTACAGTTCTAAAACAGGATGTTGAATTGTCTGTAGAGAAAAATAGGAGTAGATGGGTATGATTGAATGGTGGAGGATCTGAGGTCCATTTCTTGGAGTTCAAGGCTTTGCATTTGAACTGTGCTGAGTTGGCTTCCAATGTCCTGGCTGTATCCTGATCTTTCTCCATCTTTTCTCTTCAGCTTCAGCATCAGATAGTGCAGAACCTTCCTTGGAAGAACAAGGCAAATCATTTGACAAACCCAAACAGAAAAAAACTCGTTGTTTTATGTGCAGAAAGAAGGTTGGTCTTACTGGTAAGTTCTCTTGGATCCAATTATTGGGAAGTTTGAATTGAACAGTAAGCCTAAAAATGGGATGATAATTCACAGAATAGAATAGAATACATGATTGATCTATCTATGATCATGATTTATCACTGATTTATCACCTTTGGGGGGAACTCCAGACCTTATGCATTCCAAAGACCATGAGCCACGGTGGCGCAGTGGTTAGAGTGTAGTACTGCTGACTGCTGGCTGACTGCAATTTGGCAGTTCAAATTTTACCAGGCCCAAGGTTGACTCAGCCTTGCATCCTTCCAAGGTTAGTAAAATGGGGACCCAGATTGTTGGGGGCAATATGCTGACTCTGTAAACTTCTTAGAGAGGGCTGTAAAGCATTGTAAAGTGGTATTTAAGTCTGAGTGCTATTGCTAAGTGGGAGGAAGGGAAGGGAAGGGAAGGGAAGGGAAGGGAAGGGAAGGAAGGAAGGAAGGAAGGGCCGGCCATGGTGGCCCAGTGGTTACAATGCAGCATTGCAGGCTAACTCTGCCAACTGCCAGCAGTTCGATCCTAAATAGCTCAAGGTTGACTCAGCCTTCCATCCTTCCGAGGTGGGTGAAATGAGGACCCAAATTGTTTGGGGGCAGTAGGCTGACTCTGTAAACCGCTTATAAATCATTGTGAAGTGGTATATAAAGTCTAAGCGCTATTGCTATTTCATCTTTTGTTCTTTCTTTGCAGGGTTTGAGTGCAGGTGTGGAAACGTTTATTGTGCTGTACACCGTTACTCAGATGTCCACAGTTGCTCTTACAATTACAAAGCTGACGCAGCTGAGAAGATCAGAAAAGAGAATCCGGTAGTTGTTGGGGAAAAGATTCAGAAGATTTGAACTGCTCCTGTAGCTGGAATATTAAAATGTTTGACCACCTGCAGATGAAAATTGACTTCAGCTTTTTCCTTCCCCTTTCACAAAGCCCACCCACCCACCTCCACACACACATAAGTCTTTCGTTTTTCTGGCCCGCCCCTTGTAGACTTCAAGAAGACAAGGGTCCCAAATCATGCATGTCATGCAAAAACATAGAATTTCCCCTCTCCCCTTTCTTTTAGCACACGACAAAACTTCTTTCTTTTATGGTCCTTTGTTTTTAGTTCCTACGGATGAAGATATAAACTGTCCACAACTCATCCACTAGGAAAGTGGGCCTATTGGAAACTGATGAACGGACACCATGGCTATAAAAAGTATTATCATCATTTAAAAAAAAATAATAAGTGCAGAGGGCTTTTTCAAAGTTATGTTGGAGGGCATCCGTGCTTTTCCCACTTCTCGTATTAAACATGCATGCATTAATCCAAGACACTTCATTTTCATTTTGTATATAGCTTTCCTCTCTCTCTCTCTCTCTCTTTCTCTCTCTCCCTCCCTCCCTCCTTCCCTCCCTCTCTCTGCAGCACAATTTCCCGCCTCTTTTTTTCATTTCCTCTTTGGTAATGCCTTGTATGGCACAACTAGCAATCAATAACTGAATGTATTTAATCATTAAGGCTGCTTGGTTTCCCCTCCCCCTTAACAAAAATTTATACACACGTTATCATAATAGCTTGTTTACACCCAGCTATCTATTTATGTATGCATCCTTCGTTTTCTGAGCGTGTCAGAGAGTGCTGAGGTTTTAAAGCGTGCATGACTTTTGCTCTTCGAGGTTCTTTTCTTGGTTTGTTTTTCTTTTCTTTCCCATCTCCCCTCTTTTGTTTATTTTATTTTTTCTTCATTTTCTCCAGCGTGCATGTTGAGAGTTTGCCTGCTTGCGGGTCTTCTCGGGAATTGTGCTAATGGGTTCTTTTCCGTGCACCAATACAAAGAATGAAGAACTTTTAAGTGTATTGTATTTATGTTCACCCACATCTTTAACTTTGATTAAAATAAAATTTTTAAAAATTTGGGACGGAGGAGAGGCAGTTGGTGCCTTTTGGGTTTTTTTTGTAAGATGTTTAAAGAGGGGCGTGCATCCATTTGGGCCCTGGAAAAAAAGGGATGTGATAAGGAGAAATTGCATGCAGGTCGTCGCACTATAGAAAAAGCAAATTTGATTTGATTAGCAATATCGGTTTTGATTGAACCCGCCTTGAGGAAAGCCTATTTCAATATTGGACTGAGACAGGTGAGTCTGGGTTCAGATGACAGACACTGGTTAACCTGCAACAGTTTACAGCCTTTTAATGAGTTGACTTCCTTTTATCAGAAAAGAAAAGAAAAGGGAAAGGAAAGGAGAAAAAAGGAAAGGAAAGGGAATTTAGAATGGATATGATAACCTGCCCTCCCATTGGAAACCAATAGACGTTCACCATACTAAAAACTTATACAGGTAGTCCTTGACTTAAAACAATTCGTTTAATGACCAAAGTTACTGAAAAAAGGTGACTTCTTATCATTTTTCACACGACCATTGTAACATCCCCGTTGTCATGCCCCTGTTAGAATCTGACTCCGACAGGGAGTGGGAGTGTGGCTCCAGAGGTTGTGGAGGAAACTGGGGAAGGGCACAGGCTGGCTGGGCATTCAGAGGAAGACCCAGGCCATCCCCTCTTCATCCTAGGGCATGCAGGGAGGAGCAGATAAGGGAGAAACGTGAATGGCGTGGTCTGTGGGAGAGGAAAGGGCCTTGATCCCCTTCATGGGCTGCAGCTATGAGGACTGTTTAAAAGGACAAACTGCGCATGGGCCAGGGCTGGAAGCAAAGTGTGAAAATATTTCTAGTCTGTCAGTTCTTATGTTGAGTTCTGGCATCCTTCCCAGTGTGTGTATTTCCATATCTGTGGACGTCTTCAAGCCCTTATCCTGTCTTGTCATTAATTCTTCAGTGTGGTTTGTGTTATTTTTTTTCTATTTATAATTTATATGTATTTTGAGTTTGAATGGAAGTTCTTCCTTTTCTCAACTGTTGGTGGGGGAGTTTTTTCTCCAGTCAATGATAATTGGACCTTTAAAGCCAAGTTGAAGGAATTAAAGGGACTTTACCTGTTTTTGTGAGTTTGTTGCTTTTGTATCCCACCCTGGGTCATCACACCCGGGGTCACATGGTCCAAATTCAGACACTTGGCAACCGGCTCGTATTTACAACGGTGGCAGTGTCCCAGAGTCGTGTCATAATTTTTTGCCACCTTCCTGCAAGCAAAGTCAACAAGGAAGCAAGATTCTCTTAACAACCTGTTACTAACTTAACACCTGCAGTGATTCACTTAAACTGTAGCAAGAAAGATGGTAAAATGGGGCAAAAGTCAACTGTCTCACTTAGCCACAAAAATTTGGGGCTCGATTGTGGTCACTAAGTGAAGAACTAACTGTAGGTTGAAACTTAATGTGGTTAATAGGAAGGACCACAGCATTGGACAAGAGTTTGTGTTGACAACTTTGATGCAGGAGTTGAAATGCAACTAGAGAAAAACCCTTCCTTTAGGATTACTCCGTGGTATCCTTATTCCCCCCCCCCCACACACACACAATAGCATTTCTGCACTGAAAGAGCATTTGAGATAGGTGCAGCTTTGATTTCTTCCGACTTCAGTCTCTTTCCCTGGTTTCGTTGACGTCCCAGCTCTGGAGAAAAATGCCTCTTGATTTTCCTGTCTTAAAGTATGAAATACAACCTCAGAAATCTCTGTTTTTCTGTGGATCTTGAAGTCACCGAATGCCATCTTCTGAGAGGGAAAGTTCCAAAGTCCAGCGGATTTTATTTCTGGTCACCATGGAACACCTGATACACTTGGGAATATCCTCCAAGCTTTTTCCCAAAGAGTTTGCCATCTAGTGGTTTTTAATCCAGGCGTGTCTTCTGGAATGAAAACAAGTTTGCTCCAATGTTCTGTGGGCAACCTTTCGGATATCAGGGCATGCTGCTTTCTTTATACAGGAAGTCCTGGGCTTACAACAGTTTAGTCAACTTTCAAAGTTACAACAGCACTAAGAAATGTGACTTATGACCATTTTTTGTAGTTATGACATAGTTTGCAGCTTCCCCCATGGTTGCGTGATCAAAATTCAGACGCTTGGCAACTGGTTCATATTTGTGACCATCACTGTGTCCCAAGGTCACATGATCCCCTTTTGCAACTTAATAAGCAAATTCAAGGGGGAACTCAGGTTCATTTAACTGTATTATTAACTTATCTACTGCAGTGGTTCACTTAACATCTATGTCAAGAAAGGTCATAAAATGAGGCAAACAAATCTTAACTTAACAAATTTTTGGCTCAATTGTCGTAAGTTGAGGACTACCTATGTTCTATAACGATCAACCCAGACTAAATGCTTTGTTGAATTTGAACTTGTTTATAATAAAGGTAATCAAATTACATGTACTTCTTATAAGTAATGAATTACGATTTGCTTTGTTCCATTTCTAGAAATGCATATTTGTAAGGAAATTATAGCCCTTCGACTAACAGGAATTCAAGAATGACATAGGATCGACTATTTGTGTACTACTTTGAAAGAAACATTTTTGAGAATGGATGACAAAATCCTTACTTGTGGATAATACCTGCTTTTGCCTGCTCTTTCGTTTTTACCAGCTGTTTTTGATAGGGTTCTGACTATTTGTGTATGCCTCTGTGTGTATTCCATTATACATTGCAAAAATGCTGTTTATTCATCGACAACATTTCTAACCAACTCAATCCGAGAGGATCCTGTATAATATGCCACAAGGAAAGCCATGTGCATGTACCAAAAAAAGTTGCCTAACACAGCAAGTCATCATATAGTGGGTTTGTTTCTAGCTTAGGTTAGGCTGGGTGAGCCGAACCAGTTCTTGTTTGTAAAGTTTTATTAATGGCTTTGCATTATTTATTTAAAATGTTAAACTGCCCAATAGCTGAACAGCTCTGAGATTAGAAAACACAATCAGCCAAACCTCCCTCTATGTTCTGGACTTTGGTAACAATGATGGAGCAAACAACAACTTAGAGCAAGCCATCCCTAACAGATAACAGGTAATCAGAATTGGAAGGGACCTTATAGGTCATCTAGTCCAAACACCATCCCTCTAGGACGGTAGGGCATTACTCAGCTGGACTGATTCTTCCTCTAGAAACACGGGAATGAGTCTTGTTTTATTAGCCAGCATTCAGTCCATTACACTACCAAGCAGTGGATCCAGGGGTTCAACCACCTCACCTGCATTAGATGGAAAGATACAAGCATAGAGGACAACATGGAGCCTAGAGGGGGGATACACACACACCAAGCCCAATCACCAGGAAATATAATAGTCGTACCCCACTTTCTGGAAAAGAGTATCCAAGTAGGAGAAGAACCTTTTTTTTTATTTTTATAAACAAGTTTTATTGATTTTTTTAAAGACAAACAAAACATAAGACATCAAAGTATAAAACCTCCTTTCTCAAAAATTACTTATAAGTTTTAACAAGGCAAATAAAACATTAATTTCTAAGGCATAGTTCCACATTATCACATTTCCATTTAAACACATATATATCTTTTCCAAATTTCTCATTGTTTCTCCCTTCACTTTTATTCAATTATATTTCTATCAAGGTTTTATTAATTCTCAATCAAGCATAAACACACAAAATACAAAACATAAAACAAGACATAAAAAGATAAAACCTCCTTAATTATCATTTATACATGTCTTTTCCAAATTTCTCTCCCTTTAGTTTTATTCCTCCAAGGTTTTATTAATTCACAATCAAAACATAGCTAACCAAAACACAAAACATAAAACTTCTTTTGAAAAGTGGCTTAGCCCCGAGTTACATCTTTTTTTACAGACCTAAATCAAATTCATGCTCACCTTATATACCATTCATATCTTGTTCACCATTCTATATTTTCTATATAACTTCTCCCTTCTTTTCACTTTCTTAATTATATTTTGTTTATTTCATCTTATTTCAAAATCATTATGTTTGTATCTTTTGTCCGTTCTTTTCCAATCATCTATTTATCTCTTCTCCTTAGCAAAGAATTTCCCCTGTAATCACTTTTAAGGTGTGACGCCTTTCCCTAAAGTAACACTTAAAATATAATTTCCATCCTGATTCTGCTTAGTACATTCTACATGTTGCATTTTAAAATAAAAGAATAATAAACTTATAATATAGTTAAGTATATAATTTCCATTCTAATTCTAATTCTAATTAATAGTATAACTAAGCATTAATCATTTTACACATTCTCTTTAATATTTTATTAAATATTAAAATCTATCATTATTAAACATTTTAATATTTTAATATTTTGTTAATTCTTATAATATTCCAATAGACTGTTTCAAATGCAAATACTACAATACTATCTCATGTACTCTTGCAGAATCTTTCTTTAATTATACACTATCCTTTATCCTTTATCTCTAAAAAAAAATCTTGTTTCAGACCGTGGCTTTTTTTCCCTTTTTCCCTCCCTTTCTTCTCCAGTCTGGTCTTTTTGCCCCCCACTCTCCTAACCTCCACCTTTTTAGCTTCCCCTCTCTGTTGTAATTCTCTTTTCAATTGCTTTCTAACATTGTACCTTTTTTTCACTTTATTTTTCCTTTTCTTGGTTGTTTTATTGAATCTTAAATTCTCATTTTTCCTTCCTCTCTTCCTATTTTCTTTCTTAATCGAACTTTTTCGTCCATTAAAAATGGCTTCTTCCTTTTCTTCTTCTTCTTCTCCTTCTTCCTCCTCAAGTATTTGCTGGTATGTAGAAACCGC